GTCGCAGCACCATTATTTGGTACATAAATATTGATAATTGTTATGTCTTGTTGGTGAATGGTTCCTTTTAACAGTATATAATGTCCTTCCTTATCCCTTTTGATTAACTTAGTCTTGAAGTCGATTTTATTCGATATGAGGATGGCTAACCCTGCTTGCTTACGAGGACCGTGTGTGTGGATTATTTTTCCCAACCTTTCACCTTCAGCCTGTGTATGTCTTTTCCAATCAGATGTGTCTCCTGGAGGCATATTGTTGGATTTGTTTTTTTAATCCATGTTACCAGCCTATGTCGCTTTATTGGAGAGTTTAAGCCATTAATATTTAGAGTTACTATTGATATATGGTTTGTACTTCCAGCCATGTTTGATTATTTATCTTTTTTAAAAAATTTAGTTTGTTTCTCCATGATTATCTTTCCCCCCACCCTCTGTCTTTACTGAGGCACTTTCCACTGATGGTTTTGGTTATTGTTTTTTCATTTCTTCCTCGTGTAGTGTTTTGCTTAAGATGCTTTGCAATGCGGGTTTTCTGGCTGCAAATTCTTTTAACTTTTGTTTATCATGAAAAATTTTTATTTTGTTGTCATACCTGAAGCTTAATTTTTCTGGATACAGAATTCTTGGTTGACATCTATTGTCTTTCAGTGTTTGAAATCCGTTGTTCCAGGATCTTCTTGCTTTCAGCGTCTGTGATTAAAAATCTGTTGTTAACCTTATTAGTTTACCCCTGAATGTAATCTGCCTCCTTTCTCTTCTAGCTTTTAATATTTTCTCTTTGTTCTGTATATTGGATATCTTCATAACAATGTGTCTTGGCTTTGGTCTACTGTGATTTTGTATGTTCAGTGTCTTGTATGCATCTACAATTTGTATATCCATTTCCTTTTTTATTTCTGGAAAGTTTTCTGTAATTATTTCATTCAGCAGGTTACTCATTCCCTTGGTTTGAGTCTCTATACCTTCCTCTATCCCAATGACTCTTACGTTTGTTTTTTTTTTATGTTATCGCATATCTCTTGGATATTTTTCTCGTGATTTTTTACCAGCCTTTCTGAGTTGGCTAGACTCTTTTCAAGATGATATATTTTGTCTTCATTATCTGATGTTCTGGCTTCTACTTGTTCCACTCTGTTAGTGATACTCTCATTTGAGTTTTTAATTTGGTTTGTAGTTTCCTTCATTTCTAGAATTATTGTTTGATTTTTTAAAAATAATCTCTATCTCCTGATAAAGATACTTAACTTCTTCTTTTATCTGTTTATGTAATTCATTTTCAATGTGTTCTTTCACTGTTTGAATTTGCTGTCTCATATCCTCTTTAAGGTTCCATTCCATCTGTCTAAGGTATTCCTTAAGTTCTTTATTTGACCATTTTTCTGATGACTCTAGGTCCTCCTGAATATTTAGGCTGTCCTGCATTGTTGGTCCTCTTTTTCTTCCTTGCTTTTTCATGCTGCTCATGTTACTTCTTGTTCTGTTTGACTGCTGAGTAACTGTTTACTCCTATAAATTTATTTGATGCTTCGGAGGAAAGGTATTAGAGGAAGGGAGGAAGTCACTGTCGCCGCTGGTTTCAATGAAGTTATCTCCTCTGCCGCATTCTGGTGACATCAGTTCTCTGCCATGGTGGTATCCCATGCACATGGTGACAGTTCGTTCCCTTTGCCAGGTGACCAATGCAACAGGTAGGTCCTGACTGGCTCTCCCAAGCCCCGTTTCAATCCTGTGGCCACTGCCTATGAAGGCTCAGTTGGCATTAGCCTCCGTAGGTTCAGAAGGGCCGACCAGTTGTTTCAGCAGGATCATTTAGTGCTGACTCATAGCAGTTTGTCTTCTTTATATGTCCTAGGCTTCCTTGGTTCTCCTGTCCTCTTCTCCTTCCTTCTCTCCTTCCTGTGTACTTGACTAGGCCCAGGAGATGATGATTGCCATTTGTGAAGATAGATTATAATCCAGAGTCAACTAAATGCATGATTTAACAGCAAATTCACAGGGGAAAATAAAGAAATTCCTACTGGTCACTGATAATTAGTTTAGTCAAAAATATATTGGTGAAATTACTTTTAATATATGACTGCAACAAGACAAGCAATTTTGTGAGAGCACTGAGTTTGTTGTGTTAATGAAGTCTAGGGAAGGAACTACTAACCAACTGCAAAGTATATAGTTCTCAAAAGGCTATTCATTGAACATATAATCAGAGGACACAAGTCCTTGGTTACTATACATTATACTATGAAGATTAAATTATGAGCTGGGCATGGTGGTACATACTTGTAATCCCAGCAATTTAGGAGGCTGAGGTAGGAGGATCACAAGTTCAAAACCAGCCTCAGAATTTAGCAAGGCCCTAAGTAACTTAGTAAGGCCCTGTCTCAAAATAAAAAATAAAAACAGCTGGGGATGTGGATCACTAGTTAAGCACCCCTGGGTTTAATCCCTGGTACAAAAAGAAAAAAGAAAAAAAGAGATTAAGTTATGAATCTAAGAATGGTTAATTAAATAACTGCTAAAAAATGGGATCAGAACTATGATAATAAGTCAATAATAATCAATAAGTCAACAACATTTAGTCAATATAGCAAATATTCTGCTGTTTGAAAGAAGTAATGATAACTAGGTGACATAAATAAATTCCAATTCTGCTGCTCCATTTCAGAGAAAATAAATGGGTTAAATGGCAGCATCTATGCAAAAAAGTGAAACAAACAAAAACTCCTAGCAAACAAAACTTTCAAGCAATTGGTTGTATAAAATGGAATGGAATTTAAAGATGAACCCATAGAGAGTTCCTACAGCTGTAGATGTTAACATTTAATAGGCTACATGGAAAGGGCAGGCAATAGAAAACACTTTGGAAATCACCTTAAGAGTTTCAAATATTTAATTGTAGCTACAAAGGATCACAAAGAAAAGTGGGGAATCTACATCATCTTTGTATCTGTGAATAATTTAATTTAAATAATCACTTACTTGCTCAAAAACACATGATGTGTTCAGTTTTTGGAAAAATGGCTATTTTCCTGACAAGTCTTTTCTGATTGAGTCAGAGAACAGTATACCTCAGGATTTACAGCATGAATGCTCACAGCAAGCATTCTGCACTGTAGTGAAGGTGAAGCTGATGGACTGATAAACTGATAGTTGGCATACCATTAAGGGCCTATCAGAATGAAAGAGAGGGCCAACACAAGTTACAAATAAACTATCAGACAGAAATTGTTAAATGTATTCATTTACATAGGCCACAATCTTTGTAACCTTGTTCAGCACTTCAAAAATGAAAGTGTTTCAGATATCTCTTTACCTTTTAAAAATATACAAATCAAATTATGTTAATTATCCATAAAATGTCATTAAAATAGTAATTGGATCTAAAACTCTTAAGTCCATGATTTCTTTTAAGAACAAAGACACTGAAAATAACTATGAGGAAAAAAAAAGTCTAAAACAATCACAGTAAGTATGTATCCTAGGAATAACTTCCTCTAGTTTATACATTGAAATTAATATGTTGTGCCTCAATGGTATTGTGGCTTACTTTTGCATATACTTTTTGTTCACTTTGTGCATCTTGGCGTGCTTGACTTTCAATCATCTCATTTTGCAGAGAAACAACCATCTTTCCAATATTTTCTGATGCTGTTGTAATACCTTCCAAAATTTTTTTATCTGCAGTGACAGGTCTTAACTTTTCTAATTTTATTTCTTCATATATTTCATTCCATATTTCCCCAATCTGTTGTAACAAAGTTTAACAGAGTTAAATTAACCAAAAATAAATGATATAATTTTAGGTAACCCTTTATGGGGATGTTCACTCCTATTATTCTAACCCTTAAGCTTTCCATAACTTACCTCTGGGGAATAAGTTAAGAGCTTTGGGAATGACTCAGGGCACCAGTTACGTTTGAGTACTCAGAAGTAGTTTACCAAATATTTTTTATGATTCAATGTGTTCATGGAATGGACTGCACCACTTATGGCTTATAATTATTTTGTTTTCACAGCTGCAGAAACTGATGACTTATTCTCATCTATTTAAATTATTGCTGCTTTTCTCCCTAAAACCCTGAAACTGAAGGCTAGGTCAAGCTGAACTTATAGGAACAATCTGGGGACTCCTGAGACGCTAGAGCAGATTCAACTTGAGGAATTGGGCCCTGCCCCTCACCTCCTCACTAAAGTAAAGTATAACTGAATCTTAGACTTTTAATTATGTGGCTCCATATGCCCAAAGCTCCATCTCATATTCTGTGTTGTTTAGAAATTAATGTGCTTCAATATATTTAAAACAAGAATAAAACTTATGTATCTAAGATAGGAATACAATTCAGTTTTACTTTCATTTTAAGATATGGATTTATTAATTCACAACATTCAATACATAATACTGCTGGGTGCAGTGGTGCACACTTGCAATCCCAGCTACTTAGAAGGCTCATGCAGGAGGATGGAAAGTTCAAGATCAGCCTGGGCAAATTAGAGAAACTATGTTTCAAAAATTAAAAAAAACAAAATAAAATGAAAGCACTGGAATGTAGCTTAGTGCACTAGATGCTGGGTTCATTCACAGTTACCAAAAAACAATGCAAAACCAACTACATTAGCATATAGTACTAATAATATCAGTATAAGGCAAATGTTTACTTAATAAGATTTTTTTCAAACTTCAAAAACATTTATTGACTGATTAAAATATAACTAGTAAAATAAGCATCCTAATATCTTTTGAGATTTGATCATGATATAAGCTAATAATAAATGAATACTTTGACAAGCATTAATAAGTAATAACTTATTAATCCTGATGCTCTTCAAAGAGAAGAAATTATATTAGTAAACTTCTGTCAGGCTTTTGAATAGCTCTATGTCAGTAATATCCATCTTCTTTTATAAGCTAATAGTTGGATGAAATTTCATCCCTTGAGGGAAGTAACTAATGATATGTTTCAACAGTATCAGATGCAAAACAGGAAATAAAAACAACCCAGCAGAGATGACTGCTCACAGCTATGTATAGATATTTTATTTCCCAATTTATTTTTTGACATAACAAACACACATTTTAATAACAGTTATTAAAACAGTACTTACTTTGAAATCAAGGTATCTATGTATGATACAGAGAGTGACAAAATCTTCAGCAGAAAGGCCAGGTAAATTTTCAAAATCTAAACAAAGTTTATAAATAGAAAATTACTTCAACAGAGCAAGTGACTTCAAGATGCATATATGTGTCATAAAAACAAATGCAAACATTTACTTTTGATTTCCTAAAAAAGTTTTGCCTGTGTCAGTTCCTCCTACAACATGACCTCTGCCAGGTGATCCCAGTCATTAGCAGAGAAATTATTCTTTCTGTTTTGTGGTCAGACAATGATAGTTTACTTTCAGAAGCTGAAGAGTGAAGACATCTTCCTTAACAAGAAGCAAAGACTTTAAAAAAAAAAACTTAGATGATTCTGAATGCTAATGTTTAAGCCTAATCATCTAGACTAAGCCCTTAATCTAGGCTACACACTGGAATTGCCTGGGAAACTTTAAAAATTAAAATTTTTAATGCTGGGGGTCCCACATCCAGAAATTCTGATTTATTTGTTCAGTGTTGGAGCCTAGGCATTGAGGTAACAATGGAACATGCATGCATTTGTGTTAAAGGGAATTTTGGAAAGTTCCAAAGCAAAATCTATGTGCAGTCACACTCAGTATAACAGAAAGGTTCTTGCAAATTTGAGGAACAGCTTCTTACCTAGTTTGCCCAACACAGCATAAATTTTTGCTCTGATATTCTCTGCAATATCCATAACTGCAACTGATGGGCAGTTGGCGGGCAGTGGCATGATTTTTTGCTCTTCTTGAAAACTAGTAAATAGAGGTTTCTTTGTATCTAATAATTGGAAACCATGAAATATAAAAAAAAACCAAAACCATTGTAAATAAATTCTTGAGACTTTGATCTAACCAACATAAAAATATAAAAATACTATAGTGATTACACTTACTTTTTTTAAAGCACAATCAGTAATTTCTTCCCTACTCTGTGACAAAACATAAACCTTCTATTTGTATTATTTATGTGAAATACATAAACTTTACATAATTCCTTTTTAAAAGTGAAATTTTTATGTAAATAACTTGGAAATTTTTGAGATCCAGAAACTGAATATCAGATTAATGATGATGTAAACGATTTCATTTTTGGTTTCTAATACTTTGTTGTAAATGTAAATGTTATTTTATGATGTTATAGATCAAAACTCAAATAACAAAAATGGGTCAAAGATAGAAATCACCAGAAGTGGAAATATTTTCACCTAAAAATAAACAATAGGAACCTGGGGTTGTGGCTCAGAGCGCTTGCCTAGTTTGTGTGAGGCACTGAATTTGATCCTCAGCACCACATAAAAAAAATAAACAAAATAAAGGTATTGTGCCCATGTACAACTAAAAAAAAATTAAAAATAAACAAATAAACAATAGGGGCTGGGGTAGTGGCTCAGTGGTAGAGTGCTTGCCTAGCACCTGTGAGGCACTGGGTTTGATTCTCAGCACCACATAAAAATACATAAAATAAAGGCATTGTGTTCATCTATAACTAAAAATATTAAACAATAAAACATTATTAACAGTTTTGACAAAACTATAGTTAGAAACTAAAAGTATTAAAAGATATAATAGAGCGTTAGAGAATATAAATGAATTGTAAATTCTGATGCTGTTAACCTCATCATTAAAGTATAGTAATTAAAACTTTGAACATTTATTTTCATTTAGAAAATAATTTCTTCACATAAAAAGTAAATTGTATAAACTTTAGAGTACAAAATGCTACAAAGATTGTTTCCAGACACTACTTATATCCCCAAATTTTATTGGTAAATAAAATATTACTGGATCTATTTGTAAAGTCAGAGAACCCAGGGCGGGGTTTGGGGCTGAGCAGTAGACAGCTCACCTAGCACATGCAAGGCACTGGGTTAGATCCTCAGCACCACATAAAAATAAATAAATAAAATAAAGGTATTGTGTCCAACTACAACTAAAAAAAAGAAAAGTATTAAAAAAATCAGAGAATCTAGATAAGCTTCTTTAGGAAGTAATGTTAAAGAAAATATAGTTAAATACCATTTTTTTTGGTTTTTTTTTGGTTTTTTTTTACACAATGGATAATTTATTTCTTTAGTTTTTTCACATGCATTTGATGAACTAATCTTCTTGAAAAAAACAGACTGTATGTTATAAATATGAGCAAAAATCAATCTTTTCTACTTTTTTTCTTATGATCTCTTTTATTTTAGAGACTGCCTAATATAAAATGATAAGTTTATTAAATCATGGCAAATTTGAAAACATATACTAAGTAAAAAAATTTAAAAAGCCAATAGGTGCATAAATACAATGTGTGTTGATAGTTTTAAAAATTCACTTTCTCTTTTAAGTATTTTAAAGATCAATTTTAGGTATGGAAATACCATTTTTTAAAAAAAATTCTGTAAAAATATGAACCTCCTACTAATTTACTTGCCTTTATTCCAATCATTCAGAATTTAGAATAGCAATTTCTTTAAATACTTGAGAAAAGAACTTTAGAACGTGTGTAAGTCCTCATATTTCACTATACCTTTTAAAGATACCTTTTTAAAAAATATACATCTAATTGCTTCTTCTAACAATTACAAAACACTTACCAATGATCTTCCCATTTTTATCTCGTTTTACTCCTAGTTCTTTTTCTTCCTTTCTCCACAATTTAATTAAAAGACTAGCAGCTGTCTGATCCTTCTTCCCTCGCCAAGCATTGACATGAGCCGAAGTTTTGGGATTATCACAAAATTCAACCATTATTCCAAGTATTAGGTTACAAAATTTTTTTTGGTTTAACTGTGGTAAGGAAATAGAAAAGATAAAACATTGCAATAAATATTAAGAATGATTGCCTTATTTAAAAAAGATAAAACACTTTTAAGTTCCTTTTCAACTCAATTTCCTGTTAAGAGATACCTATTTTAATGAGTGTTTTCAAATATTAGAAATTTAAAAAGATAAAAAGAAAAAAAGATTTACTATTATTCTGAAGTAGCCATAATCACATGTCATGGCCAAAAATGTATTAATTTGATTGAACTGGAAAAGGGAGAGCTGCAAAAAATAAGTGAGGATGTTCATTTAAAGTGAAGCAAGGTCAGCAGTGACATGGTCCACTGCAATTACATGATCTTTCCATTTTACATGCTTTATTAAGCTTTAAAAAGATTTATTATTAGTGATAATCTCTTTGTTATCAAGAGAACAACTGATGGTAACTAGGTGAAAAATCTGAAAATAAAAAATGTGATATAACTTTGTATTTTAAAAATTGTATCCATAAAAAGTGCATTTAGACATTCGAGAAAATGTTCTTTTACCAACCATATTTCATAGCAACATTTAGGTTAGAAAATTCCATTAAGACCAATGGCCTCCACACAGTAATTTTCCTATGTGACTTTTTTTTGGTACCAGGGATTGAACCCGAGATGCTTAGCCACTGAACCACAATGCTAGCCCTTTTTGTATTTTATTTAGAGACTGGGTGTCACTTAGTTGCTTAGGGCCTTGCTAAATTGCTGAGGCTGGCTTTGAACTTGTTGATACTCTTGCCTAAGCCTCCCAAACCACTGGGATTACAGGCATATGCCACCCTGCCTGGCTCCCTATTTTGTGTTGATTAACTTTACAGATCTGCTAGCAGAATAGAGCAAAGGAAATATAACTTGTTTTGAGTTTGAAACATAATTAGTTTTCATTTTAAAAAGATAATAATATTACCTGCAAAGGTTATTATGAGTTATATGAGACTGCTTGGCACACGATAAGCTCTCAATAATATTTAAACATTATTAGTTATTATTATTACACACTGAATAAATATTTTAGCAGAACTGCATCAAGCAGAACCCTTAACAGCATTCTATTTTTCTAAATTTCTTATACTTCATTTTCAGGAGAAAGGCAATGTCAAAGGTTGAAGTTGAAATAAAAATTAAATAATATTTATTATTTGTAATGAACTTTATTGGTTCAATGCACATTAAATAAAATCTAATAATATTTATTAATAGCAAACAAATAGCAATAATATGTGTCAGGAACTGTTTTAACCAATGTATTTATGTATATGCATATATGCATTCACATTCACTAGAATATGCATGGGCACACACATATACACAATATAACTCATTTAAGCCTTCCAATACTGTGCTGATTGTTATCCTTATTTTATAGATAAAGACATAAAAATGGAATTATTAGCCAATTTTCTTTTAGGGTCATGAAAGGTCACAAATAATTCTAGCATGTTTTTTTTTCAATATTTTTTTATTGGTTGTTCACAACATTACAAAGCTCTTGACATATCATATTTCATACATTAGATTGAAGTGGGTTATGAACTCCCAATTTTACCCCAAATGCAGATTGCAGAATCACGTCGGTTACACATCCACAATTTTACATAATGCCCTATTAGTAATTGTTGTATTCTGCTACCTTTCCTATCCCCTACTATCCCCCCTCCCCTTCCCTCACATCTTCGCATGTTTGTTGTAATCAAAGTAGGTTTATTATACTGCTAATAAAATCAAGAATGGTGACAATCATAGATAATGACATTGCTAGAATTCTACATGAGACTCTCTCTCAAAATTTCTCTAAATAGAATTGTAATTTTCCTCCTATATCATTTTGACTATGAACCCCATTTAAAATGAATCTAGGATTTAGGTTTATATTCTTCATAGTTGCTTGATGACTTGATGGTGACTATTTACTGGAAGGAAGGTTTACTATGCTCACTCCTGCTCATCCTGCAAAATGGTGGTTTGTGACACATCAGACTTCCTCATATCACCTCCTAACTACATAGCACTCAGGTTTAATTCCCCAGCATTGCAACAAAAGCAGCAGCAGCAGCAGCAGCAACAACAACAACAATAACAACTCTTATCTTTGTCTTGTGGCTCTTAATTCTAATACTATGAGAAAAGCTAGAAGTTATTGATATAAGACTGAATTTTGATAAGAGTCTAGCTTTTTACATATTGTTTCTAAGCAGGTGGATGGTGTGCAAAGAAATAAATTTTCTGCTTATATGTATTTGGGAATACTAATCTAAGTAAACTGATTTCTTAACTGGAGACATTTTCAGAAGCTTTAATATGCTAGTGCTTTATGAATCTACAGGAAGGTTTCTGTTTAAAAACAATGTATTGAGTATAATTTGGGGGTATGTTTCTTTACAAAATATTGACCTGTGGTATTTGGTTTGGGAAAAAATCAATAAAGAGATATTTAATATTTGTTTTACAGTTGTTGTAACCATACTTACTGCCAATACATCCAAAAGGAGAAAAATACCTTCCTTTTCAAGAAAGTAATCTTCTGAAGAATAACATCCCAAAATGCAGCACCTTAAATTAAAAGCAATTCATTTGATAAAAATTTATTATTAAATCCCAATTTGTAGAACTTTCTATCAAAGCATTTTCAAAGAATATTTAATATTTTTATTCATTCCCTAAATCAAATAGCTAATACTTTTACTTAAAAATAGAACTTTGAAGAATCCATACTAGTGTAGTTTAATTTCAACTACTTCTTAAAACCAAAAACAATCATTTCTTCTTTATAACTGCCTATTTCTTTTCTGCAGGTGCAACATTCTCTTTTGCTTTCATGAAATGACTCATTCTTAAAGATCTCCTCCAGGGCTACTTTTATAGCTTTCTTCAGTGGGGAATATGGGCTGAATAATCTGCTGGTGCTAGTGGTGGAGGTGGTCAATAGTAACAAAGACTAATCTCCGCTCCTCTCGGGCATTGCAAGCTTGCTGGGATCAACTCCCTGTGTCCCCTTCCTAACTCTGGCCCCCTCTTGAACACAGGGGACCCTGTTTCTACTGCTTATTTCATGATGATGTTTGTTGGGGGTAAGGTAGGGGAGCTGATGCCCCAAATGCCAAGAACTTGACCTCTTCCATTTAAGCAGTAGGTTTTGTTTATCACCTCTGTGATGGCCAGACATTTAGCCAGTTAGTCTGTGAGGGTGATTATGAATGAGATAAAAAGTTCATGTAGCATGAATAAAGCAGATGTCCCTCCTAATGTGTATCTTTATCAATTAATTAAAGACCTACATAAAATACAAAGTGTGAGTAAATGGGAACTCCTCTGTCTGACTGTTGAGTTGGCACATAAACCCTGAGACTCAAACTAAAAACTTGCTCCTCTTAGGGAGGAGCCAGGGCCTAAGTCAGGGCCTAAACCTGGCAAGCTTTATGACTGGAACCTAGAACGTTGGCTCTCTTGGTCCTCAGGTCTTCAATCACCAAACAGAACTACACACCAACTCTCCTGGGTCTCCAGCTTGCAGACATTCTCCCCCAGCTTGGGACTTTTAAGCTTTCATAATTATGTGAGCCAATTCCTTAAAACAAATCTCTTTTATATTATTCTATTGATTCTGTTTCTCTGAACAACTTAGACAATGTCTAAATGCAAAGGATCAAAAAATACTAACACACTACTGACCACTAGAATAAACAGAGAGGCTAAACATAGAGGCAAGATATAAGAATAATGTTGTATAAATAACAGTGAATCATTCTGCTTTTTTTAGACTAGGCCAATGTGGAGTGGGTTTAAATCAAAAAAACAAGGATTTAATTTTAGATAAAAAAGTGGTTTACTGTTTGAGTGATGAATGAGATTACTTTCCAAAAGATATTGGTGTGATTTTTGGACTATCTTAAAGAAAAAGGCATAGCATAAGATATCTGTGTGGTGTGGTTTTAAGGAAAGAAAATTGTTGTATATAGCTATAGATTTAATTTTCTTATACTGTGATTCTACCTAACTTGATTACAGTAATACTTACCAAATGCTGTCCAATGTACTAAAAAGAAGCACATTATAGCCTAATCCACTCTGTATCTTCTTGGGGTCTGTTTTCATTACATGAAGAACTATATCTACTCCTTCAGTTCCAAAAATTTCCTATTTAAGAAATTTGTTAACAATTATTTCTTGAAATAAAAATGTGATCTCTTCCTCCCAACTTCACCCTGTCCCCTGAAATTACTTTTTATCATGTAAATATTGTTATCAACACTGTTTGGAAAATAGTATATTTAATATGATCAAAAAATTATACTCATTTGTTCTCAGGAATTTAGGACAGATTATTCTAAATAATTTTAAGAGAGGATATTAATCAACATACCAACTTAATATCCCTTTATAATTTTTTTTATTCTCTCCTCTTTTTATAAAAATAAACCATGGAGTGCTCTCCTTGAGAGCTGTCTAGAACTCAGATGAATACTAGATAGTAATAACTATCATGGAAGATTTTAAAATGCTCCCAACAGAAAAATTACTATATAAATAGTAGTTAAATCTTTAATAATGTATATAAAATTACTACCATTTAATAGTTTTCCTTTACCAATTACTTTTCTCATTATCTTGATCTATTCTATTCATAAGCAAGATTATGAGTCTGTTTCTAAAAGAGTATAGGCACATGGTATAGGCATAAGAATACAGGTTTGGAGAATCAAGGTTTGGAGCTAAAATTACATTCACTATTTCTGTTGCCTCTTCCTAAAATCACTCTATCTAAACCTTCATAATTTTTCATTTTTATATTTTTAGTTTCATCTATTGTTTATTTAAGCTGTCAAGTTCTAAAACTCAGAATTTATTGTGTAGCTAAAAGAGATCAAAGGAAATCAAGCTCCTATTCTAACTTTTGGTTTGAGGTATGAATTCAAACCTCCAAATAACATGTATAACAAAACAGTCCTCTGTAGAAAATTGGCAGTTTCTGATAATGATAAAGATACAACATTATGTTTATCAATTTTACTCCTAGGTATTTACTCAAGAAAAATGAAAGAATTATATGCACAAAAAAGACTCATTTAAGACTTTTCATTAAAGCTTTATTCATGATGCCCCAAAGGAAACAACCCAAGTTTCTATCAATAAGGTAATAAATAAAAAGGTTTTGATATATTCATATAATAGGATATTATTCTGTAATAAAAAGAAATGAACTACTGATATATTAAACAATAAGTATATATTTCAGAAATATATATGTTATTTCTTTGGGATGACAGAAAGCAGACATAAAAAAGTAAATACTGTGTGATGCCACTCCTATAAAGTTAAAGAATAAATGAAACCAATATATAGGGATATAAATCAGAACACTGGTTGTATGGAGGGGGATGGCTACTAAAGGGATAAGCAATTTTTATAGGGAGATGGGAATATTAAATGTTTGAATTAGAGTATTAGAAATAAACCTAATGAAATATATTTAAAATCTGTACATTATATTGTTTGTAATTAATTATAAAGAAGAATACTAAATTAAACCAAAATATTAAAAAAAAGAAAAACATTTTAAAGAATTCATATGATTGGGAGATCTCAACAAAATTTTGATTTATAGGATACATACTTTCCTTTGAATATGGTGTTCACAAAGTCCAGATAAGATAAGTAATATATCAGACTGAATTTCTAAAATAATGGCCTCTTCCTTTTCATTAGTCTTACTTATAATATTTTTAAAGATTCCTGGAATGAAAAAAAATTAAAAATGTAAAGTTATTGCATACCATATTTTCATTTTATTCAGTTAATATTTGGAATTCTTCCAAAAATCTTCTTCAGCTAGAGAAACTATTTTAGAAGGGCCTGTTTTCATTGCATAGAAACCTAGAAGCTGTAGACAGAGGGTAATAAATGGACTACTTATGCTCTCAATACAACCAATACAACCAATCAGTAGCCCACCTGCATAGATTTCCTATTTATACACATATAAAAGCCCCACACATACATAGAATGTCTCAATACAATCATTAGTCTCACATATATAGAAATTCTAGTACAGAATTAATAGTGTCGCTAAAGGATGCCCTAACAACTTGATACTCTGCCCAACACATTTTGTTTAAAAATATGTAGAATTTTAGCTAGATACAATGGTGCACTCCTGTAATCCAGCAATTTGGGAGGCTGAGGCAGGAGAATCGTGAGTTCCAAAGGCAGCCTCAGCAACTTAGCAAGACCCTAAGCAACTTAGCAAGACACCATCTCACAATTTTAAAATAAATAAATAAATAAATAAAAGGACTGGGGTTGAGGCTTAGTGGCCGAGCACCTCTGGGCTCAAATCCTGCTACCCCAAAGAAAAAAGTATGTAGAATTTCATGAGATAGAAATTAATACTTTTGCAAATATATGACCAAAATATCAAGATTATAGTTTGCCTCATCTCTTCCTCTTCTCATGGTTTATAGAGCCATTTTTTTAAAACAAACATAGAAGATCTAAGGATGTTTTCTGCTATTTTTTAATATGTAATATTTTTAGTTGTAGATGGACCTTTATTTAATTTAGTTATTTTATGTGCTGAGGATCAAACCCAGACCCTCACACATGATAGGCAAGTGCTCTACCACTGAGCTATAGCCCCAGCCCTCTGTTATTTCTTGCTGCTTCTCCTCAACTTTAGGTAAATGAATTCTATGTTCTTTAAAAACTCTTCCCACCTAATCAAAACTGAAAAGTACTTTAAAAACCAGACATTAATACTGGTAAAATGACATTCAGAATAAAATTTTGCCTCAAACAGGAATTTCCTTTATGGCTTAAATATTGAACCAAAGTAATTTTTCCTCTGTTAAAGGGATGACTGTCTTTAGTAGGAAGGTATAGAACTATGTTTCCAAAGAAATCATAGCTACTACCATAGATGGCTCCAAGCAGCTATTGTTGGACCTATGAGGATGAATTACAGGTGTGGCCTCAGAACCTCTGGAAGACAGCTGAACCTGCTGGAGGGCCAGTGCAGGGACATGCCATGAACAGAAGGGCCTAAATTCTGTTATCAGGATATCCTGTAACTGGCTGGCCACAGGTCTGTTTTTCTTTTCTAGATTATCTCATTCTCTTTCCTATTGGAATGTAGGCCTATAACTTTCCCCATGATCTGTAACACACAGTACATTTATACTGAACTATTTTCCTCATATATAGCTACCTTTCATGTCCCTGCCTTTATTCTCTCCTTATTCTATTCTAAATCATTCTATTTTGTCCAGGCTTTTCTTCCTAAAACACAGAATTATATATGTAGCCTCATCTGATCAAAATCATTAAATTGTTCCCAGGAAGAATGAAGTTCAAACTCTGTTGTCTACCACTGTAGCTCAGTGGTAGAGCACTTTCCAGCTTAGTCCCTGACTATACAAAATACCTTATCTCACAGCATTTGTCTTCACAAAACTTTAGCTCTACTTAAACTATTTCTGAACACATAACTATGCACATTTCAGCACTATGTCTGCCCATGCTATCTCTCTGCTGAAAGACCAACCTTTGTTTTAAATCTTGAAACAAACTTTACTCTCATAGGCTCCTATTAAGCCTGCTCAACCTTGAAAACTACCCATTCATCTTAGTTTCTGTGATATTTTCTCTTTATACTACTCATTAGGTACCTAAATTGATAATGCAGGGTAACACAAGCTTTTATATTTTGCTTTCATCAGGGACAAGATCCCCAGTGTCCTCATTTATACATGTCTGTAATCCCAGTGTCTACACAGAAAGTATATTTACATAGAAATTGCATTCATAATGCAATTACTTGTTTTTGCTATTGGGGATTGAACTGGGTTTCTTTGTTACATCCTGAGCCCTTTTTAAATATATATATATATATACTTATATATATAATTTTGAGACATTGTCTTACTAAGTTGAGTAGGACCTTTCTAAATTGCTTTAGCTGGTCTCAAACTTGCAATTCTCCTACCTCAGTCTCCCAGGTCACTGGTATTATTGGCATGCACCACTGTGCCCAGCTTAATTACTATTTTTTGATCATGTTACCACAAAGCCCTGTTAGATTAAAAAAGACAAGTTTACTGCCTCCTAGAACTCACGTGATAAAGATAAGCTTCTTTTTAGATAAAGGGAAAAAGTTCTACTAAGAGAAGAACTCTTATTATTTGCTTTCTTTTTTCCCTAATCCATTCCTTCAGCCCAGGTAGGATTAAGATTTCTTCCTATATATGCAAAACTGTACTTCCTGTTAGGTTGGGGCCTTAACACTGAAATTTGCACAACAGCATGAACATGGGTGTAATAAAAATAAACTTTCAAATTTGGTCATCTTAGGCAAATTTTTAAAGTAAATATTTTTGCTTAGTCCCTTTTTGGTATATCCCTTTATCATTACTTGCAGTATAATTGGAGGGCACCAGTGCTCTCCAGTAATGATGGATATGAAGGTACTTTAATGAGAAGAAGGTTTTGAGTAGGCATTTATAATTAATCAACATCCATCAGGGCTATAGTTTGGATCTTGAATGTCTCCCAGAGGTCCATATATCGAGGACTTGGTCCCAAGCCTGTGGTGTGACCGACTGGGAGGTACTGGAACCTTTAGGAGGTAGTGGAACCTTTAGGAGGTGGCCTGATGTAATGAAGTTAGGTCAATGGGAGGCCTGCCATTGAAGTTGATATTAAAACCCTGGCCCCTTCTTTCTCTTCCTAGTCACCAGGAGATGTGCAGCTTCCTCTGCCAAGTGTTCCTACCATAATATATTGCCTCTACAGGCCCAGAAGCAACAGATCAACTGACAACAACTGAGACCTAAGAAATCATGAGCCATACTCAACCTTTGCTCTTTATAAATTGATTTATCGCAGGTATTTGTCACAGTAAAGGAAAGCTAATTTAGCAGATTATAGTTGTTCATCTGTAATTTTGAATGATTGGTTCCAGAATTTGCTGGGATCCTAAAATCCTTGGATGCTTACATTAAATGTTACAGTATTTGCATAAAACTATGTGTATCTTGCTGCATACTTTAAATCATCTCTAGATTACTTATAATCCCTAATACAATGTAAATGCTATGTTTCGGGAGTAAAGACAGTTGTTGTTTGGGGGCTAATGACAAGAAAAAAGTCTGTATATGCTCAATGCAGACATAATTTTTTCTTTTTTGAGTAAATTCTGATAAGTGTTTAGTTGAATCCATGGATGTAAAGGATCTGGAGGACCAACTGTATATTATTTGCATGAAACAATCACTGCATATGAATGACTGAAACAGCTTTTACTTTTCAAAATCAGGAAAGATAAGGGCTAGAGAACTGCTTATTTTTAAGTAACAAAAAGTAAAACAACTTTGGTTTAGAAGTTTTTAAATTTCACTCTGGGATTACATGTGTATGGTTTTAGGGACAAAGTGACTTAACACAGTTAATTCTGAGTAGAAAATCAAGGATATTCTGATATTTCATTTCAGAAAAGAAACTCATGTATGCATTTTAACATATACAATATACCAGTGTTTCAGTATGTCAAATACTTCTTTAAAACGGCTCTAAAAGGCTTGGCCAAACATGATGATCTCATTACTAGAAGAATGAAACAACAATGGTCCATTAAAAAAGAGAGAGAGGGGAATCCTAAATGAAATGGTTTCTTAATTGAGGAAACAAATGTTTAAAGGATTAGTGATTATTATGTTTTATCAAGAAAAAATTGATTTATAGCAAAATATAAAACAGAAATCAAGAAAATATTCAAGACTTTCTCAGCCATAAAGACAAGACAAATGTGTAGAAACATTTCAAACTAAACCTCTGGTATTATAAATGACCTACTTTCAGGAGAACAATGCCATGTTACATTTTACCTATTAGTTGTTGAATTGTTCCCTTTTCACAAAGATCTGTATTCACAGTCTCATCTTCAAGGTAGACCATGGCTCTCAGGAGTCTTAAACTGTAACGCATCTGGGCAAACTTGTTGCCACGGCCACCTGCACCATGAAAACTGTTACCTTGACTAATAAAGGGATCTGTGGAGAAAAATTAATAATTTAATTTACATCAAGAAATTTAAAACATAAAACATTTCAAATAAACAATATATTTGATATGTATCTATATCCAAAGGACTTAAAAACGGCATACTACAGGGACACAGGCACATCAATGGTTATAGCAGTACAATTCACAATAGCTTAACTGTGGAACCAACCTAGATGCCCTCTAGGAGATAAATGGATTAAAAAATGTGGCATATATACACAATAGAATAGTAGTCAGCAATAAAAGAGAATAAAATCATGGCATTTGCAGGTAAATGGATGCAGTTGGAGAAGATAATGCTAAGTAAAGTTAGCCAATCCCAAGAAAACAAATGGCAAATTTTTTCTCTGATATAAGGTGACTGACTCATAGTGGGGTAGGGAGAGGGAGCATATATAAATTTAAATAGTTGTTAATATTTTGTCATACTTATTTTCATTCTTTCAGAAAAACAAGCTACTGTCCCTTCTTCCTCTCCTTAAGATACTCCTGAATAGAAATATGTGCTTTAAAATTTTACTCAAATGTATCATGTTGTATGTGTCTTTTGCAAGTTTCTTCCATTACTTAATATTATATTTTTGACATTATTCACACTGTAAAAAGTATATGTAGGTAATTAATTTTAATTGTGTTTAGCATTCAATTTATAAATGAATCATTTACTAGTTAAAACTGCCATAATGAACATTCTGATTCATGTCCTCTTCTTCCCTCAGAGAACAGCTTCATGAGACAATGGAATCACATGGGGTATATTCATTAAATCTTTTTTTATATTTATTTTTTAGTTTTAGGTGGACACAATATCTTTATTTTTATGTGGTTCTGAGGATCCAACCCAGTGCCTCATGCATGCTAGGTAAGCACTCTATAACTGAGCCACAACCCCAGCCCATCATTAAATCTTATCTAAATTTCCAAGTTACATAGATTCAATTAATTTTTTCAAATATGTAAAATGTAAAATGGTAATGAATTTTTTAAAAAATATTTATTTATATTTGCATTTCAATTCTTTTTTTTAATGAGAGAGAGAGAGAGAGAGAGAGAGAGAGAGAGAGAGAATTTTTTAATATATATTTCTTAGTTTTCGGCAGACACAACATCTTTATTTGTACGCGGTGCTGAGGATCGAACCCAGGGCCTTGTGCGTGCCAGGCCAGCATACTACCGCTTGAGCCACATCCCCAGACCATGAATTTTAATCTTAATTTGCATTTCCCAGATTACCAATAAGGTTGAGCATTTTAGTTTTTTTTTTTTAATTTGAGGTTTTCTGTGACATGGAAGTCCTTATACCTTGAATATGTCTCTAATAAATTATCTTCTTGTTAATATGTAGGAGTTCTTTATGAACCTCAATTTTAATAGTTATAGGAGTAGAAAATATCTTCAAATTGTAGGTTGATATTTATTTTATACAGACTTTTGTCATTCAGCCATTTTGAAACTTTTATAATTGTCAAAATATCATCCTTTTCCTGTATAGGTTAAGTTCATGAGTTTTTTCAAAGACATCTTTTCCTTTGCTAATAGTATCATATTTGCTAAGAGTGCTACAGTTTAACTTTTCATATTTATGTCTTTGATTTATTTTACAATTTTTTTTAACTAAGTATCTCAGGTAATAAATCTACCTGTTTTCGAGGTTAAAAAAAAAAAAAAAACTAAGTAAAGGGAGCTAATTTTTACTTTTCCACACTGAGAATCAACTCTCCAGTATCATTCTTCTTTCACTGCTTGGCAATATCATTTCTGAAAATGCCAACTTTCCATATATTCCATTCCTTTAAACTATCCCTGACCTAGTACTTCATTGTTTCTTCTATGAATATGTTGAGAGTACAGGTGAAATGTGTAGATTTGATCTTTGACAGGACTCCTGAAGGGCCACTCACCTTCACTGTCACACCATTCTAGAAATGCCAGTACTCGAGCATTTCCCTGGCATGACATGTATTCTTCTATTAATAAAGGAGCCACTGATGACAAAGTGGCAATTGCATGCAGTTGTAACTCTTCATGCTGTGCTGCAGACCATTCAATTATCTTGTGTTTCTCAGGCTTTTTAATATAGGTGAACAAAGCCAAAACAACTTTGCCATCAATTAATAGCTATGAGAAAGGGCAAGAGATAACTTTGTTAGAAGTATAACTCAAATAACATTATTTAATCTAAGAAAATTAAATAAAACATTTCAAATATGATGTTTTATTGATAATTCCGAAATAATACCTTTCCAAATATCACATCTATGACAGATATTTTAAAAACTCCAAAAATATAACAACAAAAGCCTCAACAGTAACAGCAGTTGGTTGAGATCCCCTTTTCTGAGGTATGCACTCTTTAGGTGACAATAATACATGTACTAATTTTTTGTCTAGGCCGCTCATATATGTACTTTAGTTCTTGATTCTAATAAAACCATACAAATAGAAAAACTTAGGGCATTAATATACTGTTGACATTTCTTTCCTCATTCCCTTCTTTCAAAGGAAACTTTGTTGTTGTTTTAGGGAGTAGACCTAGGGCCTTGTGCATGCCAAGCAAGTGCTCCACCACTATATTACACCTCACCTCTCAAAGGAAAGACTTCAGATTCAGTTGTTTAGCATAAATAATTTTTGTCTTAAATAATGACTAGAGCTAATATTTAGTCATAGATACCAGAATTTATGCCAACACCAATATTTTATCAATTCTCAAGTCACAAGCCATACTTAATTGTATTTTAAAGTTTCATTGAATTTAACGTTTTGATAAAAACAAAATATGCATAGATATTGTAAAATGACAACAAAGTTAATATTATAACTGACTCTACTTAATGCATATTTACAGTTCACAAGACTATAAAAGACTATATGCTAGGCTATATTTAATACTCTATTAATTTGGAATGTTCTATTAATTTTTTTATAACAATTATGAATTTTCTAAACTCTAATTCATCTGCTTTATAGTTTACATGAAGAGTATACAAGATTAAGAGTTGAGAAACCAGAGATAACTGTTCTAGCATTTTTGTTAGAATTAAGTGGAGAATTTTTTTTGAAATATATACATTATCACCATTATTACTGGGCTACAAGTATATAACATAAAAAATAATTGATTCCATTGCTTATAAAGTGCTTTAAGAACCTCATTATAACCTTTATGCTATTTGATTCTTTTTTCTATAAAATGTTCAATCAACTAAAATTGGTTTGTAAACTATAACATAAATTTTGTTTACTGTCTTCATATCATCATTTAACAATGATATAATCCTCTACTGTAACAATGGGCCATATTTTATGGAATGATTTTCTATTTGACATTTCAGAAAATATATTTAGGTTCTACACACTATATATTTTTGATACAAACAATAAAGTTATAATTACAAAAATATTTTTTTCTGAAAATTTCTAACATCTGTGTGTATGTGTATTTGCATATTCCTCAAAGTGACATTAACTAAAAAATGCTGAGGCTCATTTAAGTCCTCATAATAATTCCATGGGGTAGGTGTTACCTCTATGCTGAAGCTGGATTTAGAGAAACTAACTAACCTGTTGAAGAACATAATTATTTAATTTCTCTAAGTCCCAGGTAGCTGAGATTCCACCTGACAAAAGCATTAACTTCTGTACTATATCACATTTACATCATTAATGATAGAATGAATTCCTACTTCTTTTTCATGAAAACAAAAAAGCGCTTGAAAGAATTTTAGAACTAAAAGAAAATTTATCTAATGCAGTAACTTAACTAATAGAATTATTAGTAATATATTTTTCTATCACTTTATAGTTTATAAAGCCTTCATCCTAACCTCACGAGAGACCCATGAGCAGGGCAGAAATATTATGATGGTTCCTTTACAGAAGCGGAACTAAATCTCATGAAGTTAAGTAGTTTTGCCAAAGCCACTAGCTAGAGGGTGATAAGACAGAAGTGAAATTCAGTTTCAATATTTTTTAAATTATATAATCTTGTTACACAGGAAATAAATTAATAAAATTAATGGATAGTAACAAAAACTAAAGATGTTAGGTTTGTGTGGTGAAAAGCAGGTTCATAGGTTTGATATTGGCATCACAGAGGGTAATGATTTTCTTCAGCATTAAATGATTCTCTGTCATTATGGCCAGAGCCAGACTAGGTTGGATGGGTCTGTATGAACTTCTTTTATTTTATTTCTCTAGTTCAGGAAAACTAAACATATTAAGTCTCTTAACTTCTAAATTGAGGTACTTGTTATTTATTAATAGATAATTAAAGGAAATGTTTAGAAGCTGAAATTCAGGCTAGTAAGTTTTTTTTTACTTTCTATGATAAAGACATAAATTAAAGAAAGATTTTTTTAAAAAAGTTATACTATAAGATGAAATGATTTTTATTAAGTTTCCTATTTTTACTACTCTTTACCTGTACAGTAGGTAAATCTTTACATAAGATCACAATTATGTTGAATAGCAATTTCTTCAATTCAAAATCTTCACAGGAATTAGAAAGCTTAAGGCCTTTTACCAAAGGATTTTGACTTTTAACTGTGAGGGGAAACAAAAGCAAGTAAAATTATATACAAAGATTCAACAAGGCAATTACAAGACATTTAAAGATTTATGTGTTTTACCTTCATTAAAGGTTGCAAATAGTATCAAGTCCCTGGTAAAGCCACATTCCTAATACAAATACACAAAACAAGCAGAAAGATGAATTAATCAGGATGGAAGATAAGGTACAGATGCCTATATTTACCTAGTATTTAAATATATTTATCATTTTCTCCTACTGTAATTCATTTGAATTTGTAAGTACTATTAACCTTAGGAATGAAAGTAAGAAATTAAAAGACTGTAGCTAGATAGACTTACAATTTACTTAAACTTGCTTTTGTAGGTTTTAAGTATTGTATGTTATTCTATGTATATTTTACAAGATATAGTTTAAAATTTAGTAAGAACTCAAAAAACATATTAGGCCTATTTTACTTCTATAATTGTCTATACCTTTGTTATAGTTTGGATATGTGACACCAAAAGCTCATGAGACAATGCAAGGTTTGGAAGAGAAGTGATTGAGCTATAACCTTAACCTAATCAGTGAATTAATCCTTAATGGGATTAACTGAGTGATAACTGGTTGTAGGTGGGTGTGGCTGGAGGATGTAGTTCATTGGGGGTGTGGCTATGGGGTATATATTTGAATTTGACCAGTGGAGTCTCTCTCTCTGTTCCCTGATCACCACTGAGTTGCTTCCCTCTGCCACACTCTTCCTCCATCTTGAGCCCCAAGTAATGGAGTTGGCCTTCTATTGACTATTAAGACCTTGACTAAGACCTTGACTATTGACTAAGACCTTGAGCCCTTAAATAAACCTTTTCTCCTTTACAATTGTTCTGGTTAGGTCCTTTAGTCATAGCAGTGAAAAAGCTGACTAATACACTTTATTTGACACAATAAGGGAGGAAAATCCAGTTATTTAAAATAGTTTCTCTTTTTAAATAATCCTGTCCCAACCACTCTCACTTTCATTATATATATGTAATAAAATTAGTTTTCAACATGGAAAATTAATTTTAACATGAAAATCCCTGAAGAATGACCAGAAGTGCAAACATTTCATAGTGAGGGAACTAATTCCTGACAGTGATAACCTAGTTGAACTTTACATATTAGGGAAAGTTTACAGGGCAAACCCTGAGATTTTAAGCGTATAGCTTTATGTTCTTACTATTTTAAGATCCATATGATTTCTTTAAATATGAGGATGCTATTACTCTGATTCATGTTTATGAAACTCACCAGAATGTTTACAAGGACAATGATGAAAACTTACTGATTGACCAGTGTCCTCTAGATAAAGATACTTATCTAGACATTTATCAGATTGCAGCCTTAATTATGATACTCTGTAGGTTCTAAAGTTCCCCAAATCAATACATAAAATAAGCAGAAAGATGAAAAGGGACTGTATTTGCCCATTTGCACAGTATGAATTCCATAACTCCTTTTTAAAAATTTTTTTTTAGTTGTTGATAGACCTTTACTTTATTTATATATATGCGGTGCTGAGAATCAAACCCAGTGCCTCACACATAACAGGAAAGTGCACTACCGCTGAACCTCAGCCCCAGTGCCCCTATGTCTCCTCTTTTATATTGGGAACATTTGATGTCTATTGATAAGGGTTGAGGCCTTCAAGCCAGTTTCTTGACATAAAATTTACAGATGTGTGAATGTTGTGGACAAAGATTCTATTTCAGAATTTCAACCATTAAATAATTTTTTACATTATAAAATATGGGAGGGGCTGGGATTGTGGCTGGGCGGTAGAGCACTCCTCTAGCATGTGTGAGGCCCTGGGTTCGATTCTCAGCATCACATAAAAATATAAATAAAATATTGTGTCCAACTACTTCTAAAAAATAAGTGTTTGAAAAAACAAATAAAATAAAATATGGGGAGGCTCAGTGTCTGGTATGATCAAGTAGTTCCTGACAAATCCTCCTGCAGTTAACAATTATAAACTTTAACAACAACAAAAAGATCTCATAGACAAGAGCAAACCAACATTGAAAGGAAGTTAGTACTCTGAAGAAGGTAATAGTATTGTGTAAATTTCTACCCATATCCCCTTTTAGATGACTTTTAGCATGAAAGCAGGCCCTACTCTGCACCTGGAGGATTCTCCCATTCAGAATAAACCTGTGGCCTGAGAGAATCAGAAGAAAGAGGCAACCACAGCCACTGAAGAGTGAAAGGTGAAATCCCATAAAGAGGAGAGTCAGAGAGGCAGGAACCTCAAATTTTGTGTATAAACTCTTCCCAAATCTTTAGCTCATGCCTGAACCATTCAAGTGCAGAGTTTCTCAAGCATCCCACACATAGATAGAAGAGTTGAATTGGGATTTGAACTGTCATTTACCACAGGCTTGCTTGCTAGCACCTTACTCCTGAGCTATTCCTTCAGCCCCTAAAGATATTTTCAGATAAAAGGAAACTAAGAGACTCTGATGATGGCAGCCAACATATTTGTACCATATGAAATACCAAAGGAAGTTCTTCCAATGAGAAAGAAATGATGCCAGATAGAAACATATCAGGACAGGAAGGAAAGAAAACATCATAAATGGTAAATCTGTGTACACACGATAAAACAGGAGGAAGATCCCAAGCTCCCAAAGATATGCAAAGGATTGGTAGAGTATAGTGGTGACCAACATAACATTATAACTTGGCACTTCAACAAAATACATAAATATTACAACATGATTCGAGATTCCCTTTCCATATGCCCACCACTTACACAATTAAAATTAATGTAATTTGACTTATACTTACAATCATTGGTGCTCCAGGGTTTTGAGCTATAATTGTAGTGATCACTAATATATCATTTCTAAGCTGACGATCATAATGACTAAAACCTCTTGTAAACAGATTTTTAAATACTTCTTTCAAAGTCCTAGAAAATAAAACAATATTTTATTTTATTTTTTTTTATTTTGAGACTGGGCCTCACTAAGTTGCTGAGGCTGGTCTTCAACTTGCAATTCTCCTGTCTCAGACTCCCAAATTACTGGGAATACAAGGTGTGTGCCACTGCACCTGGCTAAAACAATATTTTTTAAAAAAAATATTATATGAACTACATGTTTGTGGTCCTCAAAATTCATGTTAAAAATGCTAATCCCCAATACGATGGTAGGAGGAGGTGGTGCCTTTGGAAGGTCATTAGGCCATGAGAGTTGATCCCAGAGTACCCTCTTGCTCTTTCTTCCATGTAAGGAGACAGTCTGTAGTAGTCTGAACCTGGAAGTACATCCTCACCAGATCTTAACCATGCTGACACTCTGATCTGTGAGAAATAAATTATGGTTGTTTATAAGTGACTCACTCTGTGACAATTTATAACAGTAGCCTGAATAAAGACACATTTTCCAATGGAAATATTATGTTTATAACAAATCTTATTTTTTATATCACACTATTCATTTCCATGTATTTCTAATCTTTCCCACAATTTCCAATCTGCTTCTATTTCTTTGTATACCAGATAAGAATCCACTAATCAAATTTATACAAGATTGTCAAAGTGACTGCTCTAAAAGATTTAATCATGTCAAGTTAAAACTATTAAAAGGCTTTTTAAAAACCACTTAAAGGCTTCTCTTTGTTCTTAGGATAAAGTCCTACTCTCCTTAACAAAGCTTATCAGGTCTTTCCTGTTATGTCCCTGGTGACCTTGTTAGCCTCATTCTCATTCCTTACTGTTTTACCCTTTCTTTCTGCTCTTGCCATACTGAATTTCTTTCAGATTTTTTATTTTGCTAAATTCTGTTTTCAGTTCTGTTTACCCATCTAGGATGATCTCTGTATGTATAATTTTTCTGTGTTTGCCAATTTCTATTTATCATTCAGATATTGGATCATGGTTCATTAGAAAGTATTTATTAATTCTTCAAGTCTGGGTCAGGTTCTCTCTCAGTAGACACTTGTTGTTTTGTCTCTTGGAACTCAATTGGAGCTTTTAATAAAGTATACTTATTTTTGTTTAGTCATTAACTCATCCCCAACTTTTGGCTTTGTGATGCTCCCTCCAGCTGCCTTTTAGCCAGTCAGAGCATTCCTGATCTCTGGCATCCATAATTCACTCTGGAATGGGCACTGGCTAACATTAAACCAATCAGGGCCAACATGGACTCAATTTGAAGACTTCTTTGAGCTTTTTCATAGCAAGGCTCCTTTTGTGCTTGGTTTGGGGTTGAGATGTTATAAACGTTCACTTCTTAGGTCTCACCATGTGGAGCCTGGGACAAAGTCAATACAATGGAAGGTAACTCAGAGAGATAAAGAAGGATCACATCCTGATTCTGCTGAGCTTTGAATAATGTTGCACATGAACTATTATTAGTAGTAGTACCAGAGATTGAACCAAGGGGTGCTCAACCACTGAGCCACATCCCCAGGCTTTTTTTATATTTTAATTTGAGATAGAGTTTCACCGAGTTTCTTAGAGCTTTACTAAATTGCCGAGACTGTCTTGAACTTGCCATCCAATCCTCCTGCCTCAGCCTCCTGAGCCATGGCATTATAGGCATGCACCTGGAATGAAACTAGTTTTATCCTTTCATTTTGTAGTTACATGAGCCCATAAATATCCTATATTGCTTAAGTCAGTTGGTGTTTCACCTTCAGATGTGCTAATTCACCTTCTTTTAAAGGTATATCTACTACCCTGTGATAATCTCTTTCCTAACATTACACTTTCTTTTAGTTGCCTATTTACTTGTTCTTCTAGTATAATGTAACTTTTTTTTTTTAGTATTGGGGATTGAACCCAGAGGCTCTCAACCACTGAGCCATAACCCCAGCCCTGTCTTATATTTTATTTAGAAACAGGATCTCACTGAGTTGCTTAGGGACTCGATAAGTTGCTGAGGCTGGCTTTGAAGTCAAAATCCTCCTACCTCAGCCTTTTGAGATGCTGGGATTACAGGCATGTGCCACCATACCCACCATAATGTAAATTTTATGAAAGTAGATATTATGTATATATTGTTTCTAGTTGAATGTTATGGCCTAATATTGAACCTGGAACAGAGCAGGCAATAATCATTTGTTGAATGAAGTAAGTAACTTGAAGGCTAACTCACATTTGTTGCCAATTTTTATTGCAGGATCTGGAAGATAGTAAGCATTCTGTAAGAGTGAATATGTGAAATAATTCTAAATGTCTAATGTCTCATTTTAATTTTTATATCTGCAAAGGCATAATTTGGCCTTAACAAGCTACTTTAAGAGCCTCCCACATAGAAAAGCATGATATTTTATTGTGGAGATTCATTTATACAATTGTACACAAAAAAGTATCTTGAAACACAGCTATTACAGAAATCAAAAACTTAATTGAATACAGATTCAAAGATGTTAGTCATATCATTGACTATTAAGATTAAACAACATTCCTACTAGCCACGTATACTTACAGCAAACATTCCAAATTACTAAGCTGTTGTATGATTTCCTCTTTTGAAGACTTTTCCAGTAAGTTCCAAAGTATTTCTGAAGAACGAAATAGAAGCTGTCCAGAGGGATCTGGGTCATTGAGGTGAACACAAATTCCACTGGCTGCCTGTGCTTTCATCATTAAAGTACAATTAACTTCTGAAAATAAATTTCAAAAATTACTTATAATGTGAAGTCTTAACATTGTTAGATGGATTAAAAAAATAAATGACAATGAATCATTCACATTTAATAATACTGTACAAACCAGAAGTTGAAAGATGCTGCAGAACTTTAAGGACCCAAAGTTTCTCAACAAGTTGATTTTCAAGCAAGGTCATTGACTGAACCATTGTTTTTGCCAATCCTCCAACTTCAGCCATTTTAATCTTGTATGATGAACTGGCTTGCTGGTAACCTGACACAATCAGTTAGCAAATAGGTATGTTATTTTACATAAGATTCATCAAGACAAATGAACATTTATCATTCAACAATATTAAAAAATAAAAATATTTTAAAATGAATGTATATGGCATTTAAAATTGTATAGCATAGAAATAAAAACTGTATAGCATAGAAATGGGATTTTTTTCTGTAAAGGATCAGATTGTATGTATTTTAAACTTTTGAAGTTATAAGGTTTCTGTCTGAACTATTTGACTCTAGCATGTTGTAGTAAAAAGACAGCCATAAACAATAAATGGATATGACTGTGTTCCAATAGCATTTTATTGGCAGTAGTCCAGTTTGGGCCTAAGGGCCACATCTTGATAATTTCTAATTTTGCATTTGAAATGAGACACAAATTTTGGAAGCATGTATTAAGTTCTAAAAAGGAATGATATTTTTTATATTTGTCAGTACATACAACTTTCTGTGAAGGAAAATAGCATGAAAACAAATACTGAATGTTTTCACTAGTAAAATTAAGGCTCATAGACTTGATTCCTATCTCCAAGCTATTTCTCTTCCAGCAGTTATACTGCAGACTTTCCAGCTGTGGTCCCAGATGCCCAATCATGTTCACCATTCGAAAGCAACTGTGAAATGGTAGTGAAAGTGCCATTCACAACTTCAAACTTTCAGAGTTTTATCAAATTAAACTAAGCTCACTCTGTGTAACTCAACAACTCTGTTTTCACTTGTGCACCATTATCTTCCTTTCTTTAAAGGGTGTCCATATTTTGCTAAGGAGAACTCTAAGCTTGTGTCCTAATTTCATCTTCTCATGCTTTCCTTAAGAATTTTGCCTTCACATTTTCCTACTTACTAGCTTCATTACCCTACAAACTTCATTTCTCCCATCCTAAAAAAATGTAAAACCCAAGTAACTCTTCTTTGACTTTGCTATCAGTTGGACTGTTCTCCATTAACCTTCTTCCTCTTCACCTTTAGAATTTAAAATATAAGTCTGTATTCATGAACCGCCTCTATTCCCTCATTCTCAAACACACTGCCTCTGTTCTCACAATCCTCTCATTCTTTAATCCTGCAACTGCCATTGCAACTTTATGTAAACAGACTTGTCAAATATTAACTATAATTCTTTAGATATCATATCAATTTGGTCATTCTGTCTTCCATCACAAAGGCCTTGTCAGCATTTGACACTGAAACCACTTGTTTCTTCACCAAACATTCCATTCATTGATACTCAAGACACGGCAGTCTTTAGGTTTTATTCCTTCCAGTTCCCTATCCAATTTCTTTAATTCATTTTTTCCAAACCTCATTCCAGACACTCTCAGTGATGTCATTCTTGGTCTCTTACTGTTTATATACTTTATCTCTCCAAACTCAACCACTTTGATGGCTTCCATTTTCATTTCTATTTGGATGAATTCCAAAACTATATTTATGGTCCCTGGGGGTTTTAGTAGCCAATATACCACAAATTTGGTAGTCCATTTGAACTACCAAAGGCTCTTATTTCTACATATATTAAAGAATATGTAACTTGAAAAGTATATTTATATCTTCTCTCTCTGAGTAGATTGACATAAGTTATACAAGCTATGAAGAAGTATGTCTTAAATAAAATTACATCTGCACAATTCAAGTGTCCTCTGACTTGATACCATCCATTTTAGTGTGGTTCATTTTACCATTATGTATTAAAATCCCTTAGCTGTGACATACGTACATATATACTCTTCACAAACATGGTGGAGAATGGGTTGATAGATATTATGATTAATTTAAAAATATGTAAGAGAAAATATGTTTTTTAAGGATATTAAGTAATAATTTTATTAGCATTAAGTAAAATTAATAATTATAATAATTATATTAATATAAATAATTATACTTATGGATATGATTTTACAAATAATATTATAAGTATTTATATAAATTTATTTGTTTATGAAAATGTTTATGTAAATAAACATAAAAATCTTATTCAAATCCAAAAACTGGAAAAAATACATATATAATTTTTAAGATGACGAACGAGGTCAAGACTACAAAAAAGTTATGCTTAAAATGCATTGCATTTGTGAGCCCACTGTGTCTTTTAAGTTTAGAGAGAAGTAAGAGAATTTTCTGTTTTGTAAAGACACAAGTTATTATTAAAAGATCATTGAAAACTTCACCTGGAATATGCTTCTTTGGTTCTGCATGATAAAAGTCAACGATACACTTACAAATTTGTATCCTCAGTTCAGAACTTGGTATTTTCATTAAGTCACCTGCCAGAAGGATAAATGAATTCCATATAATAACATTGTTATATTTTACTTGAAAACTTGAGCATAAAATGTTAATATTACAAGTATTTAGATCAGAGATTAAAACTGGATCCTGTAATTTTATACACACAAACACACATGGTCATGCATCACTTAATGATGGGAATATGATCTGTGAAATGTGTTGTTAGGCAGTTCATTATTATGTGAACATATAATGTCCTTCCACAAGAATGAGATTAAATCAAGCACAAGAGAAAATGGTGCAATCAGGAGATATGCTAAACATGAGATGTAGGAGGTTGCTACCAGTATAACATAGTATACATAGTTTTACAGCTTTTTTTCTAATAAGTAGAGAGTATACTGTAAATGATAAAAAGATATAGCAACTACAAAAACTATAACAGCAATTTATTATCATCATTAAGCATTATGTACTTTTAATATAATTGTATGGGCTATATGTTTATATAACTGGCAGTACAGTTTTATGTTCCAGTTATCTGGACTGGGGAGGAGGTTCTCTTTAGTCATATCTAAACTACTACTGAATTGGCCTTAGTCCATACAGTAATTCAAACTAGACTGCATTTACTCCATTGAAGTCTTATATGTATGATATCCAAGGGAATATGAAGATAATCTGAGGAACTCTGCTGAAGAGTCATGTGCTCTGGATGCCTGAAGACAACTGGATTCCTTAGTATCAGTTTTAGGATTAAATCAGATCTAGTTGGATACTCTGAGAACAAAAAATTGATAAAGTATCCTTGGGTTTTGGGTTAGGATTTTCATTAGGTCTTGCATAATATGCATATCTAGAGGTAGTCAGAGGGTGAAAAAAACAAGGAGACAAAAGGAGAGGCACAAAGAAAAGCCTCACCCTTGCTTTAGAATATGTTTGCAAAAACATCACTTTAAAAATGTCAAGATTTTACATTAATTTTATGTTCTGGACCTTTATCTTGGAGTTAGAAAAGTCACTATTGAGGTTTTGAAAATTTGTAGACAAGAGGAACAATAAAACTTTTCCAACAAAACTACCCAAACATGCAACTTTATGGGAAATATTGGGTTTTTTTTCCCCATCTGTTTCTCCACCTTTTTAGTTCCTGTAAATTTAGATCTTTTCTCACAACTTCCTGTTTTATCATTATTGGGCAGAATACTAGCTTCTTCCCTTATGCATTTCCAGAATCCTGATTCTGAATCACATATATCTATATACCATTTAGAAGAAAATGTACATAACTTACTAGTCTGCAGTAAAAACTAGAAACTCTTAGTAACAATCATGACTAGCCTCTGTTCAATGCTTTATACAACTATTTTAGTTTAAACTCATGTTTCTAGCAATTTACAAATAAGGTACAGAAGAGCCGTAGAGTAAATAAACAGTGAAGGAAGTTCATAATTAATGAAGAATTTATACTGCCCTCATATGAAACAGTAATGTGTTCTGTTGGTAGACTGTCATTAAGCAAAGAGTGGGCTGACAAAAAGAAATGGGCCATGTATTTATCATATGAATATCTACCAACACTCTTAGAGGTAATATTTTTAAATAATAAGGACAACAGGAACATTTAAAAAATAATGTTACCAACAAATATCCTATATAATATATGCTTTTATCTGTTAATACTACCATGTCCTCTTTTGGGTTAGATTCCCATGGTAAAATTTGTAAAATTTCCACTGGTGACAGAGATTCATAACATAAAAATGTCCCATTATTTCTCAGCCTGACTGCTTCTTAAAGTCCTCTTCAGAGCCTCACGCTAAATGTAATCTCTGACACTTTTATCTACTTTGCACCAAAGAGGAAGTGAATTCTAAGTAGTTGTCCCAAAGTAACTAGAGATGAAGTCTATGAAACATATTTTGGCATAAAACAAAATAAACAAAAATACTATACTAAAAAACAAAACGTTAAAATAAAACAAAATAACATATCAAAAATAAATATGTGTTTTGCTCATTGCAATTGAATCTCTGAAGTCTTTCTATATGGATAATATAATGCTGAGAATATAACTTCAGCAAAATCCTTTAAAAAATTACTGAGTCAGGGCTGGGGATGTGGCTCAAGCGGTTGCGTGCTCGCCTGGCATGTGTGCGGCCCGGGTTCGATCCTCAGCACCACATACCAACAAAGATGTTGTGTCCGCCGAGAACTAAAAAATAAATATTAAAAATTCTCTCTCTCTCTCTCTCTCCTCTCTCACTCTCTCTCTCTAAAAAAAAATTACTGAGTCAATAGTTTATCTTTTATTTCTTCTTTAGAAATAAAGACTTAAATTAATAAGTACAAACTTAATGTAGGATGTATTTTGGAAACATGTTCTCCTGTCTCAGGGGATGAATCAGAGCCAGTATTTTGTTGATCTTATTTCCTAGGAAGTTATTTTCTTTCTCTAGAAAAGTTAAGCAATAATCCAGATATAAATGCCAACTCTCTTATAATTTTTTTTCATATTTCTGTGTACAAAATACAACTCTCACATCTATATGTGCATTATTTAAAAGTCTGTAATATTCTACTACTTTATTATTTCATTTAAAATTTTAGTGATCAGCAATTCTAGAAATTCAGTATGAATTGAAAATATCTTTGTGATTACTGATAAAAGGGAACATAGATTTTTTGTTATGGTTTAGGTATGAGGTATCCCCTAAAAGGTCATGTGTGGGACAATGCAAGAACATTCAGAGGTGAAATGACTGGGTTATAAGAGCCTTAACCCAATCAGTGAATTAATCCCCTGATAGGATTAACTGAGAGGTAACCAAAGATGGCTGGAAAAGGTGGGTCCCTGCAGGCATGCCTTGAGGGTATATATTTTATATCTAGTGGGTAGAGTCTCTCTGCTCTCTGATCATCATGTGAGCTACTTCCCTCTACCATACTCTTCTGCCTTGATGTTCAGTCATACCTCGAGCTCTGAGGGATGGAGTCAAAAATCTGACTAAAACACTTTGCTGATTAACAAATAAAGTTTTTAAAAAGTCATCAAACTAAATAACACAAAGTCAAATAAGCACAACAAAGTATCCTCCAGGCTTTGCTTTTAAGGAATAGAACATTTTGTTGGTATCATGAAACACCTGAGTAGAAAATAATACCAGAATATAAACAAGCAAACTATGATTAAATTCCAACTAGAAAATAAGAACCCAGATACAGAGAAGAAACACATTAAGTGAAAGCTAGTCAAAACAGACAATACCTTTTTTTGTCAGTAGGGACTGTCATATGTTATACCCTTCTAGCTTAGGGAACTTACCCAGAAGAGCAATTGATATTGCAGTATCTTCCGCATAAGTTATTTCATCCGATACTTTCTTTTTCAAAAATGGCAAGCTTCAATAAGAATGAAGAATGTCAGAGTAATTTTTAATGAAGTCTTTGAAGCTTCATTTGTAAGGTGTAGAAAATTTCCTTTCTAAAGAATAAAACAAGGATGATATTCTATTCTTTAGCCATAGGGAATCAACAACTATGAAAAAAAATATATTTCTAACTAACAAGAAGAAAATAAACTAGGTTTGTAAAAATAAAGGGAGGTCTATGTAAAAGGCACAAGCTAAGAATGTAATTTTGTATCACTGTGACTAAAAACTTAGGATTCTTCTTTCAAATGGCAAAATAATAATGAATTATAGCTGTGATTCTATCAAAGTTAGAAAATCTTGGATAATCTGATACAAACCAGATCTATGCTCAATTAAAACGTAACAACTATTTAAGGGAGCTTTCTGAAGTCTTTAAAACTCTAGTTACTAGATCAGTGGTCTGTTTGTTTTTAAGGTCAGGGTCTTTTTCTTCATTAGTGAGATTAGTTAGGTACTATCCACAAAAAAAAAAAAACATAATTCTTTTTGGGAACTAAAATTTAGGTTTTAGGTTAACAAACACTAGTCATATTAGAATTGAATTTCACAGGTACTATAGCCAAAGTTATCTTAAAATAGCTTATTTACAAATCATCAAATATAAGGCACATGAATTTAGGTCATTAGTCTAAATTTCAAAGGAGAGACAAATCTATTTCTTAAATACAAAATATAAACTATGTTGGCATTTACAAATTCAAAATTATAACCTCTTGTAATATTTAATATATAATATATTCTACGTAAAGGACTTTTCACTCATTTTTTTCAAAAACAATTAGCCAAGTGGTTGAAAAATGGCATTGAGAATTATCATATATTCATATAAAATGCATAGGTCAACATGAATTTTAAGATATTACTATCAGGGCAAGCAATGAAAAGGACAATTTTATAAATCACACAGAGGTTTATTTTGGTTGTTCGTTGGAACTGTCATTTGAAAAACAAACAAACAAACAAACAAAACAACTTATTACCTGTCATGCAGTTGACTACTGGATCTCAAAAATCAAAGAGCTCTAAAACTAGCATTTACTGCCCTTAAACCTTTTTTTCCTTTTTCTTCCAAAGGATCTATATGATAAAGCATTAGAATGGTTTTCAACCAAAGAGACTATGAATAAAAATAAGCATGTACTTCTGAAGTAATGAGAAAAACATACTACATGCCAAAACAGAAAGACTTAATTTTATTTTTTTCTCAATGTTTATTTCTCACAAAAATATCTTGAAAGGAGATATGTGAATCAAGTCAGAATGAGGTTTGGAAAAACAATAGGACATAAGCAGAAATTAATAAAGCATAAAAATAATAATGTGAGTAATACTAAATGAGGGATAGTGAAAAGTAAGGTTCAAGAGAACCTATTATGTAATGAAAATTCAGTTACAAGCTTTCAGAGAGAACCAATGTTTGGCATAATTCTATAGGAACATTGATATGGAAAGTAATATTTCTGAACTCTGTATTCTAGGACTTGAAATTTGAAAGTAGGGGGCTGGGGAAGTGGCTTAAGCGGTAGCGCGCTCGCCTGGCATGCGTGTGGCCCGGGTTCGATCCTCAGCACCACATACAAACAAAGATGTTGTGTCTTCCAAAAACTAAAAAATAAATAAATAAATATTTTAAAAAAAAGAAATTTGAAAGTGGTATATATAATATAATCTCATATTAATAAAATAAAAATTTCCAAATAATTCCTTGAAAGCACCAGAACAATCATTTAAAAAATATTTTCAATGGTCCCTTGAAGACCCAATAAATGCCACTAGAAAACTTCTAATTAAACTTAAATTCATAAATGAATTAATCAAAGTAGCATAATATAAAATTAAGACCCATAAATCACTTTCATTTCTATATATCAGTGATGAATAAACAGAAGAAAATTAGGAAAACTATCCCATTCACAATAGCCTCAAAGAAAATTAAATATTTGGGAATCAATCTAACAAAAGAGATGAAAGACCTCTATAATGAAAACTACAGAAAACTAAATAAAGGAATTAGGGGCTGGGGTTGTGGCTCAGAGGTAGAGTGCTCGCCTAGCATGAGTGAGGCACTGGGTTCGATCCTCAGCACCACATAAAGTAAAATAAAGACATTGTGTCCACCTATAATTAAAAACAATAAATATTTTTTAAAAAGAAATTAAAGGAGTCCTTAAAAGATGGAAAGATCTCCCATGCTCTTAGATGGGCAGAATCAATAAAATGGCCATACTACCAAAAGCCTATACATCTGTAATGCAATTCCTATTGAGGTTCTGATGACATTCTTCATTGAAATAGAAAGAGCAGTCATGAAACTTATTTGTAAAAATAAGAGACCCAGAATAGTTAAAGTAATCCTCAGCAATAAAAGTGAAGCAGGAGGCATCAAAGTACTAGACCTTAAATTATACTACAGAACTATAATAACAAAAAGGCATGATATTGAACCAAAACAGATATGAAGACCAATTATACAAAATAGAAGACAAAGACCACCCCTCTGACCACAGACCCATGCTGGAGCCCAGCCCCAGGCCTTGGACAGCCCTGCTGACCTGTGCTAGAGCCAAGGCCAATATTAGTCCCAGGACCATCCCCTCCCCCACTGACCCGCAGACCCATGCCTCCATCTTGGGACACTGCAGCCATCACCACAGCCCTCTCCACACAGTAGCCTCTACCTTGGGACAACAGACAGGGCCTAGAGGCAGCTGCATATGCCTCTAGATCACCCATTCAGCTTCATCTCTGAAAGTGGTTGCATCCACCTTGGGACACTCCTACTGCTATCTTGAGTTATCTCTGCTATTGCTACCACCACTTTAGTTGCAGTAGCATTCATGGGTCACTGACGGGGGTCTAGAAGTCCAACATGAAGGTGAGATACAGGTAATCTGCAGTGACACTATAAGATAGGGTAGAAACTGTAATACCTCAGATCCTCACTGCAAGAAAGGAAGACACATAGACACCATGAAAAAGTGCCCCAAACAAACGAGATACTACAACAATAGAACCCACGGACAGTGCAATTGATGAAACGTCAAATAAGGAGTTAGGAATGTACATAATTAAAATGACCTATGAATTAAAGACTGACCTAAGGGAGCAGACAGAGGCAAAAATCGATCACTCCAACATAGAGATAAGAGAGAAAATAAGGGCAACCATGGATCAGACCAACAAAGAGATAAGGGAGCAAATACAGGGAACCAATGATCACACCACCAAAAAGGTATCAAGAAAAAGATATTCTAAACAAGAACAATCAGAAATCCTTGAAATGAAGGAAACAATAAACAAAATAGAAAACAGTAGAAAGCATCACCAACAAACTAGATCACTTGGAAGATAGAACATCTAATAATAAAGACAAAATATACAATCTTGAAAATAAAGTTGACCACAGTGAAGATGGTAAGAAATCATGAACAGAACATACAAAAATTCTGGGATAATATCAAAAGACCAAATATAAAAGTTATTGGGATAGAGGAAGGCACAGAGATTCAAACCAAAGGAATGTGCAATCTCTTCAATGAAATAATATCTAAATATTTCCCAAATATGAAGAATGAATTGGAAAATAAATGCCAGAGGCTTATAGGACACCAAATGTACAAAATTATAACAGATCTACACCCACTGACACATTATAATGAAAATACCTAGCATACAGAATAAGGATAGAATTTTAAAAGCCACAAGAGAAAGGAATCAGATTACAAATAGTGGGAAAACAATTAGGATATCTGCAGATTTTTCAACCCAGACCATGAAACCTAAAAGATCCTGGAAAAACATATACCAAGCTTTGAAAGAAAATGGATGTCAACCAAGAATCTTATATCCTGCAAAACTAAGCTTTAGATTTGATGATGAAATAAAAACCTTCCATGATAAACAAAAGTTAAAAAAATTTGCAATGGAAAAGCCTGCACACAGAGCACCCCTATCAAAATATTCCATGAAGAGGAAATGAATACAACAATGAAAATCAGAAAAGGGAGATATAACACTGAAGGAAAAAAACAATCAAAAGAGAAACCAAGTCAAGTTAAATAACCAAAAATAATAAAAAATGACAGGGAATACAAATCATGTCTCAATAATAACTCTGAATGTTAATGGCTTAAACTCACCAATTAAAAGACATAGACTAGCAGATTGGATTTTAAAAAATACCTAACAATATGTTTCCTTCAAGAGAGTCCTCTGATAGGAAAAGACATCCACAGAACTGAAGGTGAAAGGTTGAGAAAAAACATGCCACTCACATGGACTACAGAAACAGGTAGGCATTTCCATTCTCATATCAAATAAAGTAGACTTCAAGCCAAAGTTAATCAACAGGGATAAAGAAGAACATTTCATACTGCTTAAGGGAACCATACATCAACAAGACATAACAATTATAAATATATATGCCCCAAACAATGGAGCATCTATGTACATTAAACAAACTCTTCTTAAGTTCAAGAGTCAAATAGACCACAACACAATAATCTTGGGTGACTTTAACATACCTCTTTCACCACCGGATAGATCTTCCAAACCAAAGCTAAACAAAGAAACTATAGAAATCAATAATAAAATCTATAACTTAGACTTAACAGACATATATAAATTATTTCATCCATCAACAGTGAATACACTATCTTCTCAGCAGCACATGATCCTTCTCTAAAACAAACTATATATTATGCCACAAAGCAACTCTTAGCAAATACAAAAAGTAGAGATACTACCCTACATTCTAACAGATCATAATGGAATAAAATTAGAAATCAATGATAAAATAAAAAATAAAAGCTACTTCAACACTTGGAGATTACATAATATGCTACCGAATGAACAATGAGTTGCAAAAGATATCAAAGAGGAGATTAAAAAACTCTTAGAGGTAAACGAGAACACTGATACAACATATTAAAATCTCTGGGACACTCTGGGACACACATAAGGAACTAC